TCAGGGCACACACATTCATTAGGCAATTTTTTTCATTTCGGGTAGTAGCTGCGTGGAATGACCTTCCTCCGACGGTTGTACACGCTCCTTCTCGAACGCAATTTAAAGGACTAGTAGGCATTTATTTAAGCGAATCCTCACGCTGGCAAGCATACTGCGCCGCGCTTTGAACATAAACAGCAGTGCTACACCCTTTTTTCACCTGTGCCTTTCAGGTGAACGACAGCCACTGACAGACAAGAACAAAACCGACCCGTGAAACTTGGGCAAAAGCCTCGATCCTGTGTATCAATCTGTGAACCGTGTTCTAGTACCCAGTTCGAGGCACTATTAAACATTTATTTATGCGAATCCTCGCTGGCAAGCATACTGCCCCGTGCTGGGAAAATAAAAAGCAGTACTACACTCTTTTTTCACTTGTACCTTTCAGGTGAACGATAGCAACTGGCCGACAAGAACAAAAGTGACCCGGGAAACTTATGCACAAGCCTCGATCCGTGCGTGCGTGAATCAATGACCTTGGCCAGTTAAGTTGATGGCCAGTCCCGCGAAAGGCGTAAACGAAGTGGTAATGTGCAGTACCACGTTGGTTGGACAAGAACAAAAGTGACCCGGGAAACTTATGCACAAGCCTCGATCCGTGAGTGCGTGAATCAATGACCTTGGCCAGTTGAGTTGATGGCCAGTCCCGCGAAAGGCGTAAACGAAGTGGTAATGTGCAGTACCTGTTACGTTGGTTGATTTATACGTATTGCTGATGTGCAACCTTGCCCTCTGGGCCTTACCTGATGAGTTTTACTTTTTTTTCCATTCACGAAAATTACTGTGAACCCTTCACCCAGGAAAATCATTGTCCCCTATTGCCAGGATAGTGGCAACTGTTAAATCTACCAGATTGACTCTGGCTCTACATTTGTGCATATAGGCCTCAGACAATCAACTGGCTGCATGGTGTCCTGAGATATCGTGCCAGCCGTAGACCCGAATGGCTAACATCACTTTCAGACACCGACGACTTTGCTCAATCGTGTGGATTCTATTCTACTAATCTTTATACTCCCACTCACTCAAGAACCGTGTTTTGCTCTTATGTAGGAGCTGTTACGGTCAATAGCCCAACTAGGGAGTGATAGATGAGATGGTCAGGCCTCTAACCACTACCACCAAGGTGAGCTCCAACTAGCTGAAGAAGTCATTCGGCCTGCCAATATACTGATGCCCCAAGTCAGTTCTCAGCAGAAGAAGCCGCAGGGGTACGCATGGTGTATTGAACGCCGAAAAACGGGTCAACAGCCCGTGAACAGCGTGTCCTATTTCAAGTGTATTCAACAATGTTTTGTAAATCCAGACGCCTTCTGAAAACGGTATATACGGCTGATGCGTACCCTTGTTGGTTCTTCTGCTGAGAACTGACTTGGGGCATCACTTTATTGGCGGGCAAGAAACGACGACCTCTGTCTGCTACTATAATTATTGCAACAGGACGAAAGCACCTCAAAGGAACAACTGAAGCCCATAAAATCCCTTACTCGAAGACTATGTTTCCAGACTCCTGTAGCCGGTACCACCAAGTTTCCTGTTTCTGATGCAGCTGCGGCCTTAATAACGGAATTTAGACTTTACTCCGTTCCTGGTTACACCTGAACTACAGATATCAGGCTCCGGATGCTTAACTGAATCGAGCAGAATGCTGGTATGTTGTTACAGAGCCTCACCACCAGACGTCAACGGTCCACCATCCTGAAGCTGCGATCGGTCGGTCACCAGTTACTTTATTAATGCACTGTTGTTGATGACCATAATATTAATCAGGAGGTGTATGCACTAATGAAAGTTTTTGGCAGTGGCGGGTTGCAACACGTATAAAAATAAATAAAATGCGAAAATGGGAGCAAGTCGAAAGAAGAACTTATCGTCTGTGAGAGTTCCTTGGTGAAAGTCCGGAAGGCGGGAATGTGTTTTTCTATGCAGTACGACTGCTACACGTGTTCTATAATTGTCCGTGGACTGTGGAGAGTGGTTGACTTCCTGCTCCCTGCGCGCGCGCGAGTCTGTGTGTGCTGACTGTGTTCGGTTTCCCTATATGTAGGTCTGTTTGCGTATACGTGGGCGCGTCAGCACATGAGTAGTTGCTACGCTCACTAGACAATACAGACAATCGGTGTCCGATGAGTCAGCTTAATGTGACGTGGTTTGAGTATGAAAAAAACAAGCCTTGTGATCCAGTAAGCGACTGTGAGCTGACAGTCAAGTATGTGGGTGACTGGGTAGCTACAACTTCAAGCAGCTGTATCCCCGCAACCAACTATGATGTCCCAAAGAAGTCCGAGGTCAATTCGAAAACAGAAATAGCGTCGCACAATTTGACTGCATTGCAGTGAGTGGCGCTTTGCTTGTAATTTTAATGCGGACATCTTGAATGTACCAGCTGCAGTTGTCACGGTCACAAGGAAGAATAATGTCGACCTCAGATGGCTTAAGTGCCATTGCACTACAGAGCAGCTTATACTTTGAAGTTGAAGTCGGTCACAACAACGTTCAAAGCTGATTCCTCTCGCTGATGCAAGTTTTCGATGGTGCATGTCAACAAAACCCCAGTTCGTTTGTGGCTTGATGTGGTTTCTGACATCACGCAGCTCACTGGGTGAACGTGGAAACAAATTAACAAACTTCATGTCAACCCGACTGAACGTTTGGCCCGCAGTGCCTCTGGGTGTAAACTTTGATTGGCTGGTAAGGTTGGTTGCTTCATAGTGGCTCAAGGGCCCAAGCCACATGCTACCTGATATCATGCCCCAAGCCTGACCTCATTCGATTGAACTGTATCGAAAAGCTAAATTTATTTAAAAACAGCCAATTAATTCTATTTGCAACGTCATGCGCGCTGCATCCAAAGGTGCCTTGCGAAGCCATATTCGGTGCCTGCGAAGCCATATTCGGTGGTGAACATGAATGGCCTAAAAAGGGGAGGCTTGACTGCATCCGCTTCACAATCTTAGGCCAGTTTTTAGCTCGAAACGTGGAGTGCTGTTTGTAGTCCTGTCTACTGTTGACTAGGAACTGGACCGACTCCAGAGGGCTGGTGACATCGAAACACCCTACTACTCGGCACTGTTCGCACGGTTCGTACTGGTGAAGAAGGCTGATAGAACCACGAAGTTGTATGCGGGTTTCTCCACGAGTCTGAGTGCTACTTGGAATTGGTATGCAGTACCCTCTGCCTAATCCAAACGACTTGTTCGCGAAACTGAGTGGGGAGAAATGTTTTGTGAGGACTGATTTGGTCGAAGCTTACTTCCGGGTTGAGTTCGAGGAAGAATCCCGAGCGCTTTTAACCACTGATATGCACCACGTTCTGTTCCAATATACTTGACCGTTGTTTGGTGTTGAGCCCGACCTAAAGCTGACACATGGAAGTGGTGGTCGGGCTTCAGTGCTGCAATGATCCCGCGGGCTACACTGGCTGGAACTTCATTCCACAAGGTGCAACCATGCCAGGAAGGCCAAAGGGGAGCAGCCAGACCAAGAGCAGCGAGACCCCGTACTACGAGTAATCGTGCTACGAGGCGGTCTCGGGGTAAAGTCGTACTGTCCTCTGCGACAGGAGTGTGAAGGCAGTAAGGTGTTTCCCCCAGGCGACCAGATGTCCATATTTATGGAAGCAGCGATGCTGCCTTCCCCCGAGGAAGGACGGGTTAGAAAACGTCGGCCCCAAAAACCGCAC